GGGGGTATGGCCACATTAAAAAGACAGAGAAGCCACAATTTGTCTTTCTGGCCTCTGTGAGAGGTAAGTTGTTGATAGCAAAGAGTTGGACACGGGAATAAGAATTTCCGTATTACATGCGATCTTGCGATAAGTTCTCGGGGAACTATTTTCGTGTCTTAACTTTAACTTTGACCTTAACTCACCCCCTCCACCTATGTTGCGCGACACGTCCTGCAACAGACAGGGTACTTGTCCCAGGTCCTACCGCAAAAAGGCCAACGATATCACATAATGACTTTTGAAACGCCTTCTGACAGAAAACTGCGAGTTCCGGGCAGTTGGTGAAAGCTCGAACAAGAAGTTTATTGGCCTAACATTCCCGATTCGCACTCGAACTCATGATTACTCATATCATTCGATCATCATTCCTTAACAGCGGCTGTTGCTAATGGTGGGTTCGGATGAAAATCCAAAACACCAAGTCAGTGAATTACTTGTGCGAGCGATCGCTTCTTCTTCTTGACAGCTTTCTAGAACTCACCTGTCTGCTTCTAACAGCATAAACAGATTAAAGTTCCTTTTTAAAGTGTTGATTAAACCTGAATTTACCGAAAGTAACAGTAATGATTGTTTCTCCGAGGAAGGTGACTGTTGCAAAAATACATGAGACGCAGGATATTCAATTTTTTCGTCCACAATATATATATATATATATATATATATGGGACGGAGAAGGGCTACTGACAAATAGTAACGGTCGCAGTTTCCATGTCGAAACTAGTTGAATAATGAGAGCGTACGCATTTCCTATAACAATAACTAACATAAGTTAGAGTAAACGCAATGCTAACTCAACATAAGTTATGTTAATAAATTCCCATCCATTCTGTGTTCGGTTTCTCTAGAACTGAAACGTTTAGTTATAAAATTAACGAAACTCTGAGAGGGAGTGGGACACCGGAAGGGAAGCAACTACTTAAAAGCACCGCATGTGGATTTCCTAATAAACTATTTCTCGTGCGTCAAAACCGCTTATTTCGGTCTTCTCGGGAAAGGGCTCCTATTACTTGATGTGTTCGATTTTACACACAACTTCCCACTTCCGAAATAAACGACAGAGAGGGTTGTAGATTTCCTCTGTCGAGTAGTATTCTTGGGGGAGTTAACTGTCTGGCCTTTTAAGCTCTCGTTGGAAAAAGTACCGAAAACAGACTTGATTTATCCCGGAAAAGCATGAAGAGCCTACCTGAGGAGCAATGTTGCTCAAGATGAAGGACTTCTGCATAGCCTCTACGTCAAACTTGTGGTTCCCCGCCGCGGCCATGTGGCCACGATCAAAACCGCTGCGGAAGTAGTCCTGGTTACTAGACCTCAGATGTCCCTTTTCGGATTGATCCTCAAAGAAATCGAAGTTTGAGCTGTGGGTGTCAGAAGCATATGGCGAAGGGAGTTTAAAAATAATCGAATTTAAACGCCTCCTTTCATGTACTGAAAGCAAGTCTTGTTAAATAAAATGGCAGATGGCTTTCAGGAAAATCGTGGATCTGGACATTATCAGCTTGTTTTATCATTCTTCCCTTGGAGCCAAAGTGAGGAAGTGGGCAAGTTTATATGACCCCCAATAAAAGCTTGGGCAGCAATGAGAGAGAGATACGTTTTATCTTAAAAGGCAAAGGCAAAAACACAGTTCGACTGGCAAAAGATGAAACTAAAGGATGTAATGCTCCCAAAATTCGATGGCCTCCCCAAGGTCCAAAAACCAGGAAACCTCCTACGACCGATCGTTTCCCTCAGAGGAACCCCAACGTTTCACCTAGCCAAATAGCTGTTTCAACGTCTCAAATTTCTCATCCAGGGCTCTGCAACGATCGTCAACTCAGGTGAACAATTCATACAAAAACTGCAGGGTATTCGACTAACACATGACGAAGTGATGGTATCTTTCGATGTGACCTCACTTTTCATCCCAATATTGCAGCATCTTGCAGTTAAAACCATTCAAACCCTGTTAGATGAGCAATACAAAGAGACGGACACGAAGCTCAAAATAAGGCATTTTATTGGACTCCTGAAACACTGCTTGGACACCTTTTTCACCTCCGATGGAACGGCGTACGAACAAGTAAAAGGTACACCAATGGTGTCGCCATTGTGCAGCCTAATTGCTGAGGCGGTATTACGACTGGAGGCACTGGCTTTTGACCACTATCAACCACGATTGTGGGTCCGGTATGTTGATGTCAGGTTTTCATCATTAGTCGAGACAGGATTGGGGGTTTCACAGAGAATCTGAACTCGACCTTCCCCGACATTCAGTTCACGATGGAGGAAGAAAAAGACTGCTATTTGCTGTTCCTCGACGTGCTGGTGTGCAGAAAAGACGGTCGGGAACTTAAAACAACAGTTTATAGGAAGGCGACTAATACCTCTCGCATTCTGAGTTACCTTAGTAAGCATCCGGTCTTGCACAAACGCAGCTGCGTGCGAACACTCTATCGCCGTGTAGAAACGCATTGCAGCGAAGCAGCCGACAAGAAGGCCGAAGTCAAGTTCCTGCGAAAACTTTTCACGATAAATGGATACCCTGCAGCATTCGTCGAAAAATGCAGACGAGCCAAACGAAGGAAACCAACGGAAAAGCCAGAACCCACACGTTGGCGAGCAATACCTTATATTGCTGGTGTATCCGAAGAATTCGCTC